TCAAGAATATGACATTACTGTCATTTACAAGTCCGGCAAAAAACACTCCGACGCCGACTGTCTCTCTCGTGCGCCTGTCGACCAACCGCTACTTGACGACCCGGATGACGACTACTTCTTAGGAACGATAACTAGCGACGACTTCGCTGAACGACAGAGGGCCGACCCAGAACTTAAGGCCCTAATAGAATACCTCGAAGGCAGGACCGCCGAAGTCCCGAAGGTATTCAAGCGCGCACTTCCGTCATTCTTTCTACGAAACGGTCTTCTACAAAAGAAAAACTTTTCACCGCTTCGAGCTAAGTACCTTCTTGTGGTGCCTTCAGCTCTGCGACCAGAACTCCTGCAGGCCCTTCACGACGATCCGACGGCAGGGCACCTCGGTGTTTCTCGCACGCTCGCGAGGATACAAGAAAGGTACTACTGGCCACGTCTTACCACCGACGTCACTCGTTATGTGAGAACATGCCGGGACTGTCAGCGACGCAAGACACCACCGACAAGGCCAGCGGGACTTCTGCAGCCAATTGATCCACCTTGCCGACCTTTCCAGCAGATTGGTATGGACCTACTGGGGCCGTTCCCGACGTCGGCTTTCGGAAACAAGTGGATCGTGGTAGCTACCGACTACCTCACCCGCTACGCCGAGACAAGAGCCCTGCCAAAAGGCAGTGCATCCGAGGTAGCTAAGTTCTTCGTCGAAAATATCGTCCTACGTCATGGCGCCCCGGAGGTCCTTATCACCGACAGAGGAACGGCATTCACTGCCGACTTAACTCAAGCGATCTTGGCATACAGCCAAACGAACCACCGCCGGACGACAGCGTACCACCCACAGACCAACGGCCTCACCGAGCGGCTTAACAAGACGATCGCCGACATGCTGTCAATGTACGTCGATGTCGAACACAAGACGTGGGACGCCATTCTTCCGTATGTGACCTTCGCATACAACACGGCGGTGCAGGAGACGACGCAGATATCTCCATACAAATTGGTCTACGGAAGGAGCCCGGCAACGACGCTCGATGCCATGTTACCCAACGTCACCGACGAAGAAAACCTCGATGTGAGCGAGTACCTTCAACGCGCCGAAGAAGCCCGACAACTTGCGCGTCTCCGTATCAAGAATCAACAGACGACCGACAGCCACCGTTACAACCTTCGACGACGCTTCGTGGAATACCAGCCTGGTGAACGTGTTTGGGTGTGGACGCCGATACGCCGACGTGGACTAAGTGAAAAGCTTCTGCGACGGTATTTCGGACCGTACAGGGTGGTTCGAGGGCTCGGCCCACTTGATTACGAGGTTGTCCCCGACGGCATCACGAACTCTCAACGACGCCGATCGCGACCTGAAGTCGTCCATGTCGCGCGCCTCAAGCCGTTTCATGCGCGTTAACAAACTGAACTAGTGTTTTTTTTTTGTATTATTGTTGTATCGTAGTTTATTCATTGTACTTTCTTGCATTATTATTGTACTTTCATCTTTAGTTAAAGCATCGGGACGATGCCTTTTTTTCAGAGGGGGGCAATGCCACGTTCCATTTCCCAAGTTTTTGTTATCGTCCGAAAACACCGCACGATTCTCAGTGCAAACCGCGCCTGCAGTTTTCTAGAAGGTTCCGGACTGTAGTAGATCATTTCGATAAGATCACGCCCACTGTGCGAACGGTACAGATTGTTCTGGAACCTACGCCAACGCCAGCGATAACGCTAGAACATTCGACGGCAAGAGTATAAATGCCGACGCGCTTCACCGTTTGTCAGAGTTGATCGAAGGCCGACGCTCCGTTCGCCGCTATCAGTCCGAGACTGCTATCTGTGCGAGACTGCTGCTGTAATTGGACTTTCAGTTTACCGGGCACAGGTTCGCCCAAATAAACAGTTAAATTCCAACACGAAGTCTCCTGTCTTCAGCCACGTCACGACCGGCAATATTAACAATAGTGACAATATTAACTGGATTCGAAGGACTAAGGAACGAAGAACGGTCAGCGTGGTTCATAAAGCTGCTACCTATTTGCCCCGTCACACCTACATTTTCCAAGTCACTTGAATAAATTGCACGCAACTATTGTCAACTGTACTTCAGCGCAAGGTACTTTCTAAAGTAACCTCGTTAGTTAGGCTGGAACATGCTTGAGAATTGATTGTTCTCATGAGCAAACACTACTTTCACTTTTTGCAAATCTCGCATTCTGCTCATAGTAGTTTGCCATCTTCTGTTTCATCTCAGTACGGCGCAGCTGTTTATTTTAACACACTGTTGAAGATTTTCATGGGAAATCAACCGGAAGGCGTAATTGAATGAAACAGGTATAGTAAGCTTTGTAGATTAGTTATACCTTGCTCTGAACTACAGCTGATAATAGTTGCATGCAGCTTAATCAACTGACTCAGAATTGTAAGTGTTACAGTGTAAATAGGTAGCAGCTTTATCAACCGCATTGGTTGTTTTGGTTCTTTGGCCCTTCATATCTTGTTAATTCTCAGTTTGATAGTGAGGCATGTGGTTTACGGTATACTGCCTTGCATGCGTGTGTTATAGCTCGTCGCAGGCGATGCGTTGGTGTGTTGAAGTCTTCTAGAATATTTAGATGATTCTAATCAGATTGCATGCATGACGTGAAATGCTGGAGTAGGAGTACATTCTGGAATGGGCGTGATAAAGTGGTAATGCGTGAAAATCGCGAGTAAATTATTGACGACTTAGATTCATTGGTCAAATTTCAACTGCTGTCATTTTGCTCACAGCCATTGTTATACTGTAAGTGTTTTGGTCTGCTGAGCTAAATTTCATCATGAGTTCATCCAATAAAAATTTTACTCTTTGCCATTTTGGCTGCTGCATTCGTCGCCAGTGCAACCATCGCTGTGAAGGTATGCTGCGTGATATGTGTCATAGACGACGTCGGCTGCTAATTAATTGTATGCTCAATCTTTAGTGATCTCTGGAATGCGTACATGCCACTGTAACACAATGGGCATAGAAGCTGTGAATATATATGCAAATCTGTCGTACCTTTGTGTGCATGCATCTCTCATCAAAGCTTTATCCTGGATAAGTATTGTTCATTGCCTTCGCCCTCTCCACAGAGAAGGCTGACAGCCACAGGAGATAAGGCCTTGCTTGCAGCCATATCTTTTTGCCAGGGAGCATTGGCTCAATATTGCTGCTACCTCACCAATTTAAACAAGCTTTGCATCATTTAGGTTCTAACATTATGTTGGGTCAATATTACTTTTTTATGAGTCTATGGGAGTTATGAACTTCACAAATGGTTAATATCAGTGGTGGATGAGTGTTGTTAGAAGCATAGCCTGCTCTTAACTCTGACTGCTGACAATTAGCACTGCTTTCTGTTGGCATGGCAGTGGGGAGAAGGCATGTTTTGAACCACATTTGAGAGCTCTTTCACAGTGGGGTGATGGAAGATTACTCTCATGGCCATCTTGTGCAGGAGACCATGCGTGGCAGCAATATTTTGTTAATCACGGTGCCTAAATGACATAAGACATATGACAGCTTGAACAGATGTGAAATAGTCTTCCCTTTTCTTGCTTTCTTATCTTCTTTGGTTTGACTTAATCCATTAAGAACTGCTACAACATTGTTCGAAAAAAGCATCGGGGAAAGGGGGTGCTGTCTTTTACTAAGGGGTGCTGTAGTGGTGTAATTTGTTGGTGTAGTTTTCCCCTGAGCATTCCTTCATATCTGGTTGCGTGAAGAATATGCAACCATCTTGTATGCCACTGTTCCTGATCACTTGTAGAAATGGTTGCGATTTGCGTTCTTGTTGCATTCGGGCAGCACTCTGCCAACTGAGGGAGTGTCACTCTATCACTGGACTGCAGCTTATTTGGTCACACAGCAGAACAGAAGCGTTTATATGGAAAATCATTTGCTGTTTACCATGGTTTTCCTGTTCCCGTACTTGCCTTTATGGGGAGATACCATGTAAAAAAAAAATTTGTTTAATCTATAGCCTAGGGAAATGAAATTTTTGCCATTTTACGTAAGCTTTTATGCTGATTTCAAATATGTAAGCAGTCTTATAGTAAGTTGCATATTTTTCTGTTTCGTACCATTGCAGTGTGTAAAATGTAGCTCTTCTTGGGTTGACTTTTTCTGCCACCAAGCTTTTAATTAAAGTAAATAATGGCTTGTATGATTTCTCATTAACTGAAGAATGCAAGTAACTATTGATAAGGTGTGCATAAAACATTTAAATCAATAATAAAAATTGTAATGTGAGCAGTTTAAAAATGTCCAGCCCATACTAATTGTATGTTAAAGTTCATTTAATTATATAAATTATATCGCATTTCAAAGGAGATGATTGCACTCCTCACATGTTAAGGAATATGTGAGAAAAATTTAATCTCGATTTGGCCACCATAAATACCAAAAACATGATATTTTAACAAGAAGTTGCCCAAAATTGCATCTGGAGAAAAACTAATTTTTAACGTAGAAATGAAAGCTCATTTGTTTGGCAAAGTTGTGCTTTTTAAAATGATTCCTTCTATTATGAGAGCTTGGGGATGGTTCTTATGAGCATGTGTCTTTGGTGAAAGTAATGGCAAGCAGCCAGGTGACAATATCCAGAAGACTCCAGGCAATGACCTCTTCTTAGTTTTTTTATTTCCATTTTTCCAGTTTATTTATTTTCATCAAAGGCAATTTTAACCTAATTGAAGTTTACAGCTTTTTTTTCTTCATAAAACTAAAACTAAATTTGTGAATACAAGTGAAAACAAGAAAACATGTAATTTAAGAAAAAAGCTTGCATTTTTCGAGTGGCATCTCCTCTTGAAAGTCTTCCTCTTTCTTTTGGTGCCTTTCTTTTCTTCCATTCTGTGCAGCAAACCAGATGCTGTTCTATTTAGCAGTCTCCACTTTGCCATGTCTGTGCACTAAATTCACCTCGTAGGAGGACTTGTGGAACGAGAAGAAGTGTCTGAAGACGCATGTTTGTTTTTCTCTATCTGTGCAGTGCCGTCGGTAAAACCTGTCTCCTCATCAGCTACACCACCAATGCCTTCCCTGGCGAATATATACCCACAGTGTGAGTATCGATTCATCTTCATTAAAGCCGGCTCAACTGGGGTCACCATACCGGCACTTATTACTGGTTGTACATTGTTATCATGTGTGAACAGGGTCTCTATGATAAGCTGGGAACCACGTTCAGAGCATGTACGGTGCTCATGAAATGAAATATCGTACATAAAGATATATATATGTATTGTAGCCAGCACCTCTACCAAATGCAACAGGTTTGTTGTTCTGAAGAGTTTTGGCAAGGTGCCCGGCAAGACAGCTGCAGCAAAGAAAACGGGCCGAGCCCACTACACATGAATGGCATTGTCTTTTTTCTCGCTGGCACACAGCTGATTCCAACGTGCACTGGTAAAATATATATATATATATATATATATATATATATATATATATATATATATATTGTAAAGAAGATGTGCCTGCAGCAAGCAGCATCGCCAACGCCCGGCTCTCTCGGCTCGTGCTTCGGTTCGTTGCTGTGCCGATCGCTGAACGGTTCTTCATGCTGTCTGTTTTATTCTGCTGTTTTATTCAAGCTGGCAAGCTGTTTTATTCTGCCCTTCTCTTACTCTTCGCCACTCTAGCTGCCCATGTGCCCGAGCCCCGGCATTTTTCTTGGTCATGACACTGTGTGTGTGTGTGTGTATGCGCGTGTGCGTGTGTGTGCACGTGCATGCGCAAGCTGTGTTGCTTGGAATGGGACACTAAACTTATGTTGGTTTCGATGTAATTGTATGAGCCAGTGTGCCATGACCTGAAGATGGTGCAGTCAAAAGTATGTGTATTAACCCTAAATTGATGTTTTACTTTTTGAGCACCAACATGGCACAAGTGTTGGCACGTGATCACTGTGACGTCTTTTCTGGTGTACTTGGGTGCGAGGCACTGTTTGTACCGTTTGGGACTTGTGAAGGGATACATGCTGTTTGTTGTTAATATCATTGACATGTTTCTTTATCTTTATATAAGTGAAATAACACTACACTGGACATTTCGGATATATTTGAGGAACTTCAAGCCTTTGCTGAAAAAAATATCAACTGCTTGTATAAGCTTTATTGTATGTTGTGATCTTGAGAACTTGATAATACTACATATTCTTGTTATTATTGCAATATCTAGTTATTTATTGTAAGCAGAGTAAAATGAGTCATTTTTAAATATTTTAGGGAGAAAAAATTGTAACTTTGATTGCCGCTTTGAGTCCTTAAAAAGCATGCGATAAGTCCTGCAAAGTTCTTAAATATCCTTGAATTTTTTCTTTGGAAGGCTGTACGAACTCTGTATCAGTTCAAAGACGATATTTATTTTTAGAAAAGGATCAATATTGCAGTGTACTGCACAGTCATTTGTGGATGCTCTTGGCCAGAGGGCAGTGCATAGTTTTGTATTTTTCAGCTTCTGTGCCTAATTCTACAGTACCTAGTATGTGTTATTTACAGCTGAATGAGTGATCACTTATGGTTGTGAATATGGTACACCATGTGAGTGGGATGTCATATTTGGCTTTGGCATAGGTTCCAATTGCATTGAAACCTAAGGCTTTGTAGAAAGCTTAATTTCAAATAGGGTTCAAATAGAGTAACCTGCCTGTACAATGTTGCAGTTGAAATATTTATGCACCATAGAAGACTAGTATAAGTATATGCTTTTGGTGTCTTGAGGAGGCGAAACTGCGCTTACTCGGGCGCACTGAAAAAGTCACAGAATCAGGCACCTGAGTTACTATATATGCTACCTTTAGGGAGTAGAGTTTCGTGTACCTTTTCCTTCGCTGCTATTCGGCGAGTGCTGTCACGTGGTGCAAAGTGACATCAAATGTTAAATTTTATGCGGTGAAGCCGACTTTATGTGCACGATGGCACGGCGTCTGCGCATTCTCTGCCCGCGCTGACTTCAGTCTCATCGTGACCGCCTTTAGGAACTTTTAGCTTGTACGTATACTTCTTTACGTTACCGTGTTACCAGATGGAATCTGCGCATGTTCGGGTCTTTACAAAACGTAAACTTTTACGTAGCATAAACTAACCGCCGGATGGTTTACGTTTGCGGCGCTATCTCGTAAATCCCCCTTTGCTCGTAGGAGTTCGTGATATCTGCACTGCGGAGACACCAGACATGCATTCAAAATTAGCAAAAGTGCGAGCGCCAATAGCAATTACATTTTTTCAGTCGAATCACCAAAGCTAGAGTTGCCAGAACATCGAAGCCGCAAATGTGGTAGCCTTTGAAAGACTAGATAAGTGGCGCCATCTAGCGGAGTTCAATGAACCGAGCAATTTCAAAATTTTTTTTTTCAGAAACATTGTGCACTGTACGTTTGGTGTAAAAACTGTGCAGCAGCGTTATTTTGAAGGAGTTACCTTTTCAATCATTTTTGCCCAATTTATTCAATTGTTGAGTGAAACGTCCCAAGACCACCACATCATAATGAGACAGGCCGTAGTGGAGGGCTCCAAAAATTTCGACTATCTAGGGTTATTAACGTGCACCTAAATCTAAGCAGACGGTTCTCAAGTATTTTCACAACCTATCGCAATACACCGTCTGACTGCAACAGTGCAATCTTGCTCAATGCGCGCAAATACGTCTGCGACACGCAGACGTATATGTCGTCTGCGACAAGCAGGCGCTAGAACATCGCACCGTATTTTTCTCCTGTCTGCGCGACGAGTGGCTTCACTGCACACAGCCTTTGAAAATAATGGCGGACCTATGCGCAACTCTGCTCCAGCAGGGAGCATATACAGTAACTCTATCGGGCACGGCACTTATGTGCCCTCTGTTGTGAAATTCCGTTAGCGGAGGAGCAAAAACTCGCACCACTCTCACTGCACTCTCGTTCAAGGCCATTCCGCTCCGACTCACTGTTTGTGCTTCACGTCCAATTGAGTCTTTCAGTGCGTCTTCGCCAGCTCCAAATTTTAACGTGACAGTGTTGAGAGCTCAATTCGCAGGAAGGCCGGCACCGGGGCCGTTGGTTGGGAAGGAAAAATTAGCATTGTCGTTGACTGCAAAGCTGAGGAAGATGCAAATGTCTTCGGTTCTAGGCACGTTCGAAGTAGGAATCGCACCCACGCATTCTTCATGGCATGCAGCTGTTTGGCTACAGAGCTACAACACTGCTGGAAGCTGCTTCGAAATTAAAAAAAAAACTATGTCAATATCATGCAGTGTCATGTAACGTTACATGTGTGTATGTCATGTAACATGGTGTGGCAGAGTCGCGGTCTGAGAAGTGCTTCTCCCAAACGTAGTCATCAGGCGTAAGCTCGCGATCTTTCTCAGGTGTAGTGCGCACCCACACTTCCAACGTCACAGGGTCACTAGCAACTTTGATGGTAATTACCTTCTCTTTGCAGGATGCTTAACCGCTGTTACAGTTTGGCGCAACACATTTCCACCCCATCCTGAAGAAGCATTGCTTGAATCCTGCAAAGCGCTATTTGTTGTAGCGGCGTGAAAAGCGCGCCATCGGTCAGCACGGCCAGTGTAACGCACTGAAGCCATTGAGAGCGCCAAAGAGACGGAAAGCCTGCATATTGCAAAGGGATTTGCGATAGCTTGTGGGGAACTTTCCCTACCAAGGCCACCCACGCATGCGGGCCGACAATATCATAGCGAGAGGCGCGTGCTTGCGGTACACGCCGTCTGCTCCTGCGTCATTACTAACAGCTCGTTTCAAGTGCTTTGTGGCTCGTAATTCTGGCAGTATCAATGAGTAATTGCCGTAGAAATATTAGTCACACCTATTCATTCACATTACACGCAATAATCTGAAAACTTTTGCAGTGAACGAGGCACTATCACGATTTTCATGCGTCGCGTTCACAGAAGCACATGTAAAAGATGAAAACAGGCCGGAAGAGTCCTCTGTCGAGCGTTGCCGTAAACCACATCACTCCGTGACGCTATTGCGGCGCCCTGGCCGCAGCAGCACGCGAGGGCGACACGATAGCGAAACAGAGTGGTGTAGGCACCGCAGGGGTGGTTACATGGTTAGAGCGTCCACTTTCAATGCGGGAGGTGCCAGGTTTGATTCCCAGTGCCAACCGGGAACCCACCGGTTTTTCCCAATGCGTAGAGGAGTACACCGACCTGGCGCTCGGTTGTTTCTGCATACTCATCTCGAAAGTTAGCCCCATAAGGCTCTGCGAAGGTCCCTGGGCGTACGTTAACCCACTACAGTCTTGGTGAAATTGTTGAGCGTCCGCCCCTCTTGTGGAAGGCAGAGAATTGCTGCCGCCAGGTACCCACTGGTTAAATGGGTACAAACACACTTCCGGCCTGGTGCTCGGCAGAACGAAGTTGTAGTCACTTGGGAGAGCACCCACCCCCTGGGAAATCGGCGCCATTGGACCGCCAGACCTAAAATTAAGGTCATCCTCTTCTTTTTTTCCTCCAGACCGCGCGTTCCCGCTGGCGGGGCCTGAGAGTTTCTCTTCCTCAAAGACTCTTTTCTCCGTGCCTCTAGCTAGAAATGATGCGCAATGTGAAATATTGAATGTGCCTGTGCATGGCCACAAAAATTTGGCAGCGGTCTCGCAAGTTTATTCACACGCCCTGATATTTCATACCTGCTATTTGTGACAAAGCAAGACCAATGTCATTGCTGTAACAGTAGGCTTATGATATTTTGCTCAAGGTTTTCCACCAGTGTATAGTTTTTGCATTGCCTTACAGTGCAAACTCTTCAAAGAAAGGCTGTGTCAAGCTTAGATTTCAGGAAATAGTGTACGATGTGAGACACAAAGCCAACAAAAAGGTCACCTCCGCTTACTACACGACATGGGGTATTGCCAAATCTAGGCAGCATAGGTATAGCTCGTAGCCAAGGGGGAGTTGGGGGGAGGGGTTGAGCCCTTTCTCAAATTTTTCAATTTTGCTTGCATATATACACACGCACACCTACAAACGTGTGCATAAGCATGAACATACATAAAGTATGATTGAACTCTCCCCCCCCCCCCCCCCCAAAAAAAAAAAAAAAGTCTGGCTACACCATACACCCCTGCAAGGCAGCACCAGTTTACCTGTACCACCTCCACACAACTCCGAGATATTGCGAGTACATCTTGAGGCTAGGCGTGCTCAGTGTCCGAAATGGGATGAAATTGGTGTTTGCATTTAGTGGGAAACTTTCGTAACAAATATCTTGCTTGAGAGCATGCCAGGAAATGTTTTTCTTACAAATGTCTGCCCAACAGGTTCGACAACTACTCGGCCAATGTTATGGTCGATGGCAAGCCCATCAATCTTGGCCTGTGGGATACAGCTGGTCAAGAGGACTACGACCGACTTCGGCCACTCTCCTACCCACAGACGGTGAGTGGCACTACTTTGTTTGTCTTCACTTTCATTAGTGCTCGCTGCTTTAGTCTCATTCTCTGTGTTCTGTGGCAGAAGCAAAACCTCGCCTTGAAAAAAAAAAATATATATATATTTCAAGCTTTGAATTGGGGCCCTTTCATTTTTCAGTACGAGAGATGAAAGGATCGAGAAAGTTATTGTGTATTTAGGAGGTAATTCGATAACAACATAAATATTCTCTCTTTCATTGCTCTCTGATTGTCTAGCCTGGGTTGTACAAAGAATGTTTTAAATATCTTGAAGCAGTATTACCAAAGGGAGTTGTTCGTTAGTATACACACATGCAGTGTGAGAGATTTACTCTTTGCGCCCCCCCGCGGTGGTCTAGTGGCTAAGGTACTCGGCTGCTGACCCGCAGGTCGCGGGTTCGAATCCCGGCTGCGGCGGCTGCATTTCCGATGGAGGCGGAAATGAAGGAGGCCCGTGTGCTAAGATTTGGGTGCACGTTAAAGAACCCCAGGTGGTCTAAATTTCCGGAGCCCTCCACTACGGCGTCTCTCATAATCATATGGTGGTTTTGGGACGTTAAACCCCACATACCAACCATCTTTGCGTCGAATGAAACTTAAACAGCAGTAAGCCTTCTCAATGGTATGTAGTGCGCGCCGTCCACTTATCACCATGGACAGGCACGCATATATGTGTAGAGATGTTGAACAGGGTGCGTGCCCCTGTCAATTGGGATAACTGGACGGCGCGCACTAACCATCGCGAAAGCTTGCCGCTGTTCTGGTTTCGTTTGATGCAGATAGTACACTGCTGAATGGCGTATAGTCTGTTTGCCATTAAACATAAACAGAAATAGATACGTATTAGATCACTGCATGAGCGTGCATTAGATCACTGACAAAAACAAAGAAACAGCGCATTGCATCTCAGAACATTTTCGTTTTTCATAATCTTGTATGAAATGCAGTATCTGTTTTTAAAACATATATATTTTATGCTTCTCCTCGCCCTGTGTAATAGCCTGGTACAGACTAATTTGCATATGTTGAACTCACTAGGAAACTGAAGTTAATTGGATATACCATATAATTTGATATGAAACTTCTAAACAATTTTTCGTATCTTCTATGCAAATTTGGGTGGACAAGTTTACTTCATAGAAATGCATCAGAGTAATGCAAAGACTGTTGCTTAAAGCAACACACTGTTTTTTCCTTATTTAGTACTTTTCAGCAGTTTGCAGTTGGCGGTGGGTGTTCTATACAGGGGAAGATTGTAGGCGAAGAAATGCGGTAGTGTTATAGCGGTCCTTATCATACGACTCACTCACCGAAAGGCACGCGGGAAAGTCCCCTTTTTGTGCCCTGCCGCGGTGGTCTAGTGGCTAAGGTACTCGGCTGCTGACCCGCACGTCGCGGGTTCGAATCCCGGCTGCGGCGGCTGCATTTCCGATGGAGGCAGAAATGCTGTAGGCGCGTGTGCTCAGATTTGGGTGCACGTTAAAGAACCCCAGGTGGTTGAAATTTCCGGAGCCCTCCACTACGGCGTCTCTCATAATCATATGGTGGTTTTGGGACGTTAAACCCCACATATCAATCAGTCCCCTTTTTGTGAGGGAAAACAGACCTTTTGGGGCACGTTGTGCTGCCCGATGTTCAATATGTTGTGCCTGTTTTAGATGCGAAGCATCTTTCGGCAGAGTTCAGTTCGGTGTGCGGCATGACCACTGTTTAGCATGTGCGCAACAGCTAGACGAAGCACTGTTGGGACGTGCTGGCGTGTTTCGGCATGTGTAAAGGGCTAGGTAAGGAGAGTGCAAAGGGGCCTCTCCCCCTTACAGTCTCTCAGCAATCATGTGATTGTGTTAGGGAATGAGATTCTGCATACATGCGATGAACCAATGCGTTATGTCCTACTCAGAACGCACTGGCATGTGCCAACGCGTCTGGGCCTACATAAGTGGCTGTGCAAGAAGCTGTGGCCTCTCCCCTTTAGACTCGGTAATAATGTGGTGGCATTGGGAAATGAGGTTCTTCAGACGCGCGATAAACACACATGCTCCCGTGTGGCGTTGCAATAGCCCGTTTGGTGTGCTCCAACAAGAGTTCGGGACGAGTAACAGCCACAAAAACTGCAGTGAATTTATGGTGTGCTCCATTTGCAAGAATGCGTTAACATCAAACAAGGCGCCCGTCATGAATGGAGCTTTAAGTTGGCTCATGCGCTGCTGTGCATGCTACTCATAATTGCCTCTAGTGGGAGTGTTATGAGAAAAGGAGGCTTCGCCGTTCTTCTTCGGTAGCTTGTCGCGAGGGCCAACGCCGGGCAAGCAGCATCCAGGCAGGTCCAAGGCAAAAGGCAGCCAGAAAGAAACAAAACGGTTATATTTACAACGCATGTACAGAACATGGACGAGGAAGCCTCTGACGCTCCATGCATCGACCTATTATAGGCGTCGAGACCCTCGAGGAGGAGGGTGCACTACCACCGGTGAGACGCGTCCAGCGTCTGTGACGGACGCTAACAGTGTCTCTGCAAGGGATGCCAGCACACTCGTAACAGCAGATGGCATATTTTTTGTTTGATATAGCTGTAAATTTTTGTGTGCATCGACGCTAAAGCATTGCCATGTTCTAAAATAGTTCATTATAAAGGATAATACGATTTAGCTAAGTTTGATTAATTAGTGTTGGCTATTTTTGACTTGCCTTGAGGTGACTCTTTACAATATAGACAAAGAGTAGTGGTAGTTTTGCTTCTACATTGAAAAATTTTTGTTCGAGGAACTCTTAATAAACGTGAGTAACATGTTTATTACCGATGATTTACTGATTAAGCGAACATTTTGCCTTGACATTGAAGTGCCAAGGCATCTTGGCCACGACAGTTGTATGCGAGAACGCCGAAACTGAGCATGCAATGGGTCCACATTAAAGAAACACTAAGGTACAACAATAAAATAGCTTGAACTGGTAAATTTTTTGCTTATATCTCTTTTGTTGTGGATCTCACCATCGCAGCATCATTAGTAAGGGAGATAATGAAGTTTAAAGTTTAATTCTTGAATTTGGCACAGAGGATTGTTGTAGTCGGGAACTTTTTGCTAAAGGTTTGCACCCCTTTTACGTTTGTGTGTTGGTATGCACATGTCAAATTTGGGTAGACGGGGAGGGGGATAGGGGAGGTTGGACCCTCAATGTTTCCTTTGGCTATGCTTGTAGTGCAGATCATTCAGCAGCCGAATGCCCACGGAACAATGCTGTTTCAAAATTTTTTGAATAACAAATAGAATTTTCATAACGTTTTGTGTCAATTTATTGCATAGTCGCGTTTTTTTCTTCGTGCACTTCCTCGCTTACAAGCATCTTTTTGCAGCCAGTCTCACGGTGCCTTTAGTATTGTGAAAGAGTAATATAGTGATTTGAGAGAAATTCATTTTCTCTCAAGGCATATTGTAAGGGGACACTGATTGTTGCTAGCATGTATTTAAAACTATGTGTCTCCACTCAGTGAGTGAACTTTATTGAGTTATGCAAACCAAAGGAAAAGAAAGCAGTTGTTTGGGAAGGAGGGCTTTCGGTTATAAAACACGCTCCTATGGGGCCCACAGTTGGTCTTTGGCGCCTCCTTCAAGGTACTCTGCTGCAATAGTGATGTGTAATGTTTATTGCATTAACAGCCACTGTTGTTTTTTTTTCTGCAGGATGTCTTTCTCATCTGCTTCTCTTTGGTCAACCCAGCATCCTTTGAAAACGTCAGGGCGAAGGTGAGTGTCTAATAAAGCCAGTGAAATTCATTTGACAACAACTGGGCCATGCGCTAGGGCAGACAACTAGTAAGATAGTATTTATCGCTATACCAAAGATGATTGCATACTAGTTTAGTATAACAATACTATAATAAAGGCTGTTATTATTAGCTTTTCACATCGCAACATCTCCTGAGATATTAGAGCTTCTTCGCTTGTCCGTATACTTTTCATGTTACCGTTTTACCAGAATACCTGATGGAGTCTTCATATGTCTGTGATCTTTAGAGAACATAGGCTTGCCTTCACAGAACGTAAAACAACTCGCTGGATGTTTTACATTTACGGCGATATCTAGAGAATTCACTTTAGTGTGCTGCTAATTTTTATATATCTGCTTCATGAATATTTCAACCGCCTAGCCAAATTAAGCTAAAGTGCATGTGTCAATTACGATCATGTTGTGTAAGCCAGATTACTGAAACTGGTGTGACTGTGGCCTAGGATACCAAAGCTGAAAATGTAAAATGCCTAAAGTTCCTGAAAGGCAAGGTAGGTGGTGCCATCTCATGGGAGATTAAGATGAACAAGGCAAACACAAAACTTTTATTGTAGAAACATGGTGCTTTCTACTTCTGGTGTAAGTTGCTTACAGCTTAATAATTAGAACTTAGTTGTCTTTATCATTATTTTTCTGTCAAAAACTTAGGTGAAAGAAATACGTCAACATTTGCACAAACTATCATAAGTAGAGGCTGGATTTTCAAGCGCGAGAAATCGCATTCTAAAAGCCAAAAATATCCAGGCAAAACACAGTTTTAGGCCCCAAAAATCGTAAATATAGGCACTATTCATTTTTAAAAAAATTCAAGTGTTCGAAGAAACACGTGCATGACCTGTGTCTACGACAGAAAAGAGAGGGAAAAAAAGAAGGTGTTATAGTTTATCATGGCACATGGTGCCAGTGGTTTATCATAACCATGCAATAGCCCTTTTTCCCGCATGGTTTGCAGAACACGGTCTTTCTTATTGTCTAGCATGGTGGGTTAAGTGTCCACCATCGTATAAAGAGGCTTCTGGGTCTCTGGGTCTCTTTCTTTTCAACATGGCTGAGAAGGGCAGCACATGAGCAAATAGGCAGTGCTGCAAAACCAGCCAAGTGCTTCGAAACTAACGCACGCAGTGCGTTAGTTTTGGTGTCTCCGACACTGCGGTCTGGAAATTCGATGATGGATCTCTGAAACCACGTGTGATACTTTCAATTTTTAGAAACTAGGCTCTCCATAATTTGTGATGTCGAACAATTTTCCATATAAGCAACCTCCCTAAAATTAATATGAGAAAAGTCAATTCAATTATTTTTATCAATTAGTCATCCCTAAATGATCTAATAAGTAGCAAAATTTTTTCTCCTCGGCCTGGGAAATGCCTGCGAAGACAAGTGCCTACCTATTATATATAGCTTTTCAAGGAAAAATTTGTTTGTGTAAAAAAGAACACCCCGCATATTTTACGCATTGTCATGGCACAAAACAAAAACTGTGATCTTGCTACAAAACTGATTAAATATTTGAAACCAGCATAAAAATGAAAGCCCATAAATAGAACGATAATTTTCATTGCCTTAGCCTACAGATTCACAAAGTTTCTTTTTCGAATCACATCTCCCCTTTAAAGGGCCCTCACAAGGGTTGAGCATTTTGAGCTTGCTGCTTGCCCTTCATCTCACGAGCGCACACTTCAACATGGTGGAGGTATTGTACAACAAGGAATGGTCCTGCATACCTCACAGTAGTATACCGGACACTGCGAGAATTATTCGAGGCGACGTGTAATTTGTACAATCTGTTGCTTCAATAGAAGAATGAAATTTGATATAAATGTTAAAAGATATTAACGGAATCTGTGCATCTTTTTTATTTTTGTACTTCGAATCGAGCTAGATACGAGACTAAGCTGCCTCTATTTCATTTGAATTAGTGCTCTCGCCATTCTCGCGTCGTGCTGATGCCAACCCTGACAACTCTTGGCGTGCTTTTGGTGCATGGTTCTTTAGAGCGATTCCAGCAGTGCAACTCTGTGTATTGTGGTATAGATACTTGATCCGTGCCAGCCTCTCCAAACATGCGCACATACTGCGATCCATCCCACAGAAACAGGCAGTACACTACAGAGAACACAGAAAAGACACAACGCTGCTCGCATTCGCAACTTGGCTTGGGCATGTGGTGCGAATGTAACCTTGCATTTGCATAATGTATTGATGCGACTGTGTCGTGTGATCATTTGGTTCCAATTTGTTCCGATAACGAAGATGGAAAAAAGGAATTTGGCTTGCAAAGTCTACACGGGGCGAGTGGCAAAGGTTTCAAGCTCACCTCCTTGTATCATGCTTTGGTGACTTGTAATAAAACAATTCAGTGTCTAAAATTTCTCATGTGACCTGGTGAAGCGCCCTTTAAGAAGCGAATGGCAAACAAAGCGAAATCCACTTAGACATCTGTACCCCCCCCCCCCCCCCTCACGTACACACCACGGACGACCCTCATTGGTTTTGCATTCAATCTCCATCTTCCTGCGGCTGCACAAAGGTACCTCCTATTCCTCCCCCCCCCTCCCGCATGTCCCTCGACACGCTGGTTTTCAAGACAATGCTTAAATTCTTTGGAAACACTGGACTGAAAAACGGGCCGTGAAAACCGCCCACCACGTTTTCGGCCATGGACACCTTTCTCCTCTTCTTCACACCATTACCTTCTCCTCCCCATTTTAATGTATACGCTGGGAGGCGCTCCCACTTATGGTTGCAGGGTTGGCATCTTTTCTTGTCCTCTTCCGCCCCCCTCATTCAACCGCTTGCGCCTGTCAGTGCGGTGCCTTTAGCTTGTCGGCGCGTCCCATTTCACTGCTGCTAGTGGTTGCTTTCTGCAAGTTTGTTGAACTAGATAAGTACGTTGCACCCTATTGAGTTCTGAAATGATCAATTTGGCCCAATAATATTAGTAACGGTCCCCGCAACTCTACTCGACAGCAAAATTTGAGGTTAAGTAGTGTTCTTATAGGCATTGATTTCAGGCATTTCAGGCACTTGTAAAAATTTAAGCACAGATGTCAAAAATAGGCATTTATAGGCACTATATAAACACTATTAAAGCCCTCCTTAACCTCTAATTCATGATCATATATCAAAATGGCACAATAAGAATGCAAGAAACAAAATAGGCATTTTTCAAAATTCGGCCCCTTGGGATAAGATGTTGAAGCATATACCAGACTAATGCACATGCTAAAAACCTCTATCCTTATTTCACTGCAATGTTTATTGAGTACTATCTAAATTATAGTTTAAATGCAGTGATCACCATTTAGTGCTTTAACCAGATGTCAAGAAGTACGCTTATGTACGTACCTAAACATTTTGGGAAGCTGAAAATTCGCATTCTGGCAACACGGTAACGTTAAAAAATATACTATGTAAAAACTAAAAACCTTTATTTAAGTGTGGAACCTTATTTACCCACTTCTCCAAGTTCAGATTGATTGCATAAAAGCTTCTGTGCTACCACAAAAACCTGCGAATAGTCTGAGGTGCATTTATTAAGATAGCAAGCGCAAGAAAAAATGTTTTCACCCTATTATAGCCTGAGGAAAACAAAAAATGAATAAGTTTCACTCACACACTTATTCATTGTTGTCTGACGCATCTTATTTTGAATCTCCCTTGTCAGAGATGTCATTCTACAGCACCTCACCTTAAGTGCCATCAAGGGCATTTCAAATTGCGCACTTCTTGAAGGCATGACAAATGAGGGCCTCGGGAATGCTAGCCTAAGCTTCAGCAATCCCCGTGCACAGCACAGCCAGTGATGCCCATTTCAGCTGTATGTTGGGGGTCACCTCTGGCTCTCCAGACCTTATCCACTCTATATACATGCAGTTGATGTGGTCCTTAAATGGATTATTTAGGCACGCATCAAGCGACTGCAGTCAAAATGCCCTCCCGGGGTGACAACAAGCTCATCAGGACTGTCGCGCAGCAGTGTCTTCACGGAGTCGACACTGAAATGCGTCAAGCACTAGTATTGATGGGATCACCAGCAGTGCTCCTTTGCTCGCAAAGTCTGTCAATTACTGTTCAGAAAACACTCATTTGTTCGGTCTGCAAGAAGTTCCTCTCAGGCTGCTGCACAGAAGCAGGCTTTCTTTTTGTTTCCCCCAACTGCGAATGCTTTGCTTGTCTGCGCTTGCAGCACTATTGTGGATGGTTTTGGCAGCTGTCATCACCTTTCTTTTAAAGGCAGCTGAATACTGCTTTCGTGGCTGTCACATAGCAAGAATCATGTTCGTCGTGATGTAGGACTAACGCTAGCGCTAACGGGTCTAGTGGCTAAGGTACTCGGCTGCTGACCCGCATGTCGCGGGTTCGAATCCCGGCTGCAGCGGCTGCATTTCCGATGGAGGCGGAAATGTTGTAGGCCCGTGTGCTCAGATTTGGGTGCACGTTAAAGAACCCCAGGTGGTCGAAATTTCCGGAGCCCTCCACTACGGCGTATCTCATAATCATATGGTGGTTTTGGGACGTTAAACCCCACATATCAATCAATCTATCAACGCTAGCGCTAACTAACACAGAGGCCTGATTATGATGATAGTGCCACACTGCCGAAACAAAAACGGAATTCCCGCTGAAAATTCTTGGCATCCGCATTATAGCACAGGGTCAGATTTTGCATCATAAAAAAAACCATAAGAAACAACCCTGAACTATACACGATTTTTTTCATGGTATTTTGCACTCATGCATTCGAGTCCTACATTTCTATCAAACAAGGCAGCCTTTCGTGTTATTTAACCAGCATGATAGTCCTATTACCTGTGATGAATTCGCAGATAGTATACTTCACTGCTCAGCTAGTCTTTACTACTACATTGCTTCACAGCATTGCACAGCAGCATTTTGGTTAGGCTTGTAGTAAGGCCACCATATGTATTATCCCATCACTAAGAGAAAAAGTGATTGCAGTCTGCCAGCTTGCTATTTTCATCGGTACATTCACAGAGGATACACAGCTGCACTTAAACCTCAACAAATGCCTCTTACATGCTGTGTCACAGCATGCCTATTTCGTAGAATGAGTTCTCCGCTTATTGAGCAGTGGCCGGCACAACTTAAATGAAGCTTTAAAGGCATAGCACTAGTGCTTTAGGGATGACAGCACCGTATAATGTAAATTGTAAAGCTATAGAGTCACTTTTTCCTAATGCTGCATTTCTTGGGATAAGTAACGCGTCATTGCATAAGCTGGCAAGCTCACTCAGTAGACAAAACCCTTTTAGTTGTTGAACTTGGGGGTTTACAGTACTCATGGATTCAAACACGATGATTTGGAGCTAAGTAGTTCGCATTTATTTGCTTAAACTGTTTTCAGTTTGTCATGTCGGCAACACGTTGACTCTAACACTAAAATCGGAGCCAATATTACCTTCATTTTCCAGATTTGTCATGGCACGACTAGGTTACCTCAAGGAACTGCATATACAAGTTTTACTAAATACTTTGTCTCATTTCAGCCTGTAAGCACTGTAAATTAGCACTGCAATGACTGATAAATGTACCCAGATTTCGATGTGGCTGTGGTAATTTGAGCCAGTTAAAAATTCTGTAACATATTTTCACTTGTTGTAAGACAAGTTGCTTTGTCAAATTTCAGACAGCCGATTGACAGAATGATCAAGGCAGGCATTCTTATACATTGGCAAGTGATCGGTGCAAGGAGCATCTAACGTTTTTTTCCCTCTTTTTTTCTGGTATTGAGCAGTATGCACATTCACAGAAATATGCCAAAATCCCCGTCAGTCTCCACTCGAACGAGTCCCTCCACATAGACTGTGACAACTTTTTCTACTTGTACATTGAGTGACTTTGTTCCAAACTGATTACTGTCAGTTTCTCCAGTTTGAGTTCAGGCACTTAGCGAGAACATATTTTCTGGTTTAGATCTGAGGAAATTCGGAATCAGGTACGGTTTCTTGGTTTAGGAATGGGTTTCGTTGGGCGCATTGGCACAGTTTCCACGATGATAAGCTGCATGAAGCTTGCCGATACGACTGACAAGTGAAAGGCAGTGTGAGGTGCGCATATGTTCACTGTGGCAGTTGTGAAAGATGCAAGCATCTCGCCAATTATTTACACGATTTGACTGAAGTTTTGCTGCTCTTTCTTGAGACAATTGACCTTGGACGCTGCAAATCTACTGGCAGTGTCGATAACTGTTAGCGCAAGATCCAATATGATGTCAGCCAGTTCGGCAAGACCTGACCGCACACGGGAACTGTGACGACAGCTGTATATATGCTAGCTGGAAGATGCTGCAGCAACAGCTCGTTCAGTATGGCTGTGTTTAAGGAATATGCCATGTCACCGAGCAAAGGCTGAGAATGATGCAGAAACGGACCTATACGTTTGTCACCAAGTTCTTAAGTACTCCAGGGCTGCTGCATACAGAGGTGTGTAGGTGGGAGGAAGTGGCAAAGAAGAGCCTCTTTGATTGTCCTGTAAGGCGTTTCACTCCATGGCAGCAGAAAAAATTGCATTGTGTGTCTATTGGCTGTCGTAGCAACACTTCAAGGAGCGGCTCGTACTTTAGAACTTCCGAGGTGATGCAACTCATGCGGCACTCTGCTTCATTGAACCATAATGCAGGATTGGAAATTCGCATCTGTGGTAGTGTGATGGTATACTGTAGCTCACCTTTAACACTTGTGAAAGGTCCACAGTACGGGTGTATTTGTCGATAGTGGCGGTCCAGCGATGTTGCTTTGAAGGTTGTGTTCGATGCCTGGTCACCAGTAACTGCAGTCAACCAAGCACAGTTGAAAATTTCACAACTTGTATTCAGCTTTGATTTCTCGATCATAATCTTCCAGTCAATCTTACATTCCAAGCTCTTACTCTTTTGCCCCATCAGCTTACGTGATTGAGGAGTACTCTGCTAGAGGAAGAAAACAAGGAAAATACGAGACTGTGTACATCACTGCGCATACAGTCAGCTTCTTATCCGCATTTATGCGAGGACCATGCTGCTGCCTTTCGCTTTACAGAAGTGACATAAAATCTTTCAGTGTCTGTAAAAGCATTTAAAAGGCTTTTTCACTTAAAAAAAAAAAGAAAAGTTCTATGCATCTCTTTGAGGTGAATCATTACGAGTGGGCAAAACACTGGGGATCATTCTTATCGTAAATTGCCTGTGGCCTTGCCTTTCGTGGGCGAGAACGCTTTCACGATTGTTTTCATCCATGGCAGAAAGAATGTGTGGTCTGGAACGCGCTTATTCTTTGTGATCAGCATCATAATCATGACGTATAGTGGGGGCCTTGCATGTGCTGTGCCGTGATAGCTGAAAGATTATGTGTGGTCTGCAACACACTTATTCTTCGTCATGAGTGTCATTGTCATTGTTGTGGCGTATAGTGGGTACCTTGCATGTAATGCAATAGCACGGAAAGGCGGGCTAGTTGGTTTGGCTGCATAGCGAAACTTTAGGGCACACAACACGAAGGCACAGATGAAATGTTCACAAGGGCCAGTGCAGGTCCTTGTGGGCGTTTCCTCTGTGTGCTCGAGTTGTGTTCACAACACTTCACTGTGCACTTTGCATGTGCTGTGCCATAATGTTAGGATCATTGTCATCAGGTACCTTGCATGTTACCTTGTACCTTGTAGGTACCTTGTAGTGCACTTATTCTTCGTCATTTCGTGAAGTGGGAACCTTGCATGTCCTGTGCTATGATAACAGAAAGAGAGTGTGTGGTATGCAATGTGCTTATTTTTCGTTGTCATCAGCGTTAGTGTCGTCACGGACCATAATGAGTACATTGCATTAGCTGTGCCGAGATGGCATTGTCATCGGTTACCTTGAATGTGCTAACGTGCTTATTCTTCATAGCATGTAATGGGTACCTTGAATGTACTGTGGCGGACAACGAACAACTCTAGACCGCGATGTGCCTCACCCCTTAAAGTAACACTGCTCTTTGTCGTGTGCAGTGGTATCCCGAGGTGAGCCACCACTGCCCCAACACACCCATTATCCTAGTGGGCACCAAACTGGACCTTCGAGAGGACAAGGACACCGTAGAGAAGCTGCGTGACCGCAAGCTCGCCCCCATCACCTACCCGCAGGGGCTGGCCATGGCCAAGGAGATTGGGGCTGTCAAGTACCTCGAGTGCTCGGCCCTCACCCAGAAGGGACTGAAAAACGTCTTCGATGAGGCCATCCGCGCTGTGCTTTGCCCGCAGCCCAAGCCCAAGAAGCGGCGTCCCTGCTCACTGCTCTGAGTCCCTCTATGTGGCTGTTTCTGCTCTTACTCCTCGAATCTGCTCGTCTAGGCGTCACTCACAGGCGGGGGCATGGCCGCCTGCGAGCATTCTCTGTTTAGGCGCGAGCTGCTCCTTGTTTTTCTTCTCCTCCGACTTGCCTACATTGCGACCTTCTCATAGTTTTGTTTTTCTTCTCTGCACTAGCTCATCAGATCCATGCTGGTCATTTGAACTAAGTGCTGATGCCCATCCGTTGTGCTCAGGTGATGTAGCTTGATGATGGCATGCTGTTCTTTTAGCTGGAGTTAGGAAATGTATTTGGTTTTTAACGGATAGTGTTTGCTAAGTTAATGTTTCTGCTCGTGAGCCATTAACTGCTGTCGTCTGCTGGCAGTGCTGACAAAGCTTGTTGAGGCTTTACCTAGCAATGAGTGCCCATTCAAGTGTGGACACTTTTGTTTTTACATATGATGATTAGCATTTTTGTCATGGTAATTTTTTGTAGCACTGATTGTCACTGATTGCCAGTGTTGCAAGCATACTATTCGTTTGCTTTATTGCCAATTGTCGACTTTTTGCCTCATTCAACTCATCCGTTCTCATCTGCAGCAACTTTATACACATATGAACCTTTTTTGTGCCTTCGTACATACACGAACTCTATGACAGTTTTTTTCTTAGCTAAGGCCGTGAGCAGCTGGCCTGACCTGTTGACCAGCTGGCTTGTGTCCTTTCTACCAGTTAATATTCTTTAAGGTGTTAGCTTTTTCTGCATGTGCTAGCTAAGCTAGAATGCAAAAAACTTCTCCTAACATTGAAAACCATTGCCTAGTATCAGACTTACGATGCTGTGAGTTTTGCCTACGAATTGCAGTCACTGCTTGTGACAGAAAAGCTGCAAATTAGTTTGTGACACTGCCTGCAGACGATAGCGTACATATGCAAAAAGTCTTACAAATATGAAGGGCCCACTAATTATGTGCCTCTCAACGGCAGATGTTGAATGGCATTGCGACGCCATCTCACCTGCACTTTGTGCCGCAGGAGTTGATAAAACATATCGCCCGACAGGAAGTGCAGCGCATGCGTAAGTGCATGCTGTTCGGTGCAATTTGTGTTGCTTGCCGCGATTTCGACTTAGCGCACTGTTGGCCTAACTAGGTGATGAAAGAACTGTGACCGCCTTTTTTTTTTTCTTCTTGACTGACAAGTTGCCAAATGTGACAGATGGTGTAATGCAAGCCAGTAATCTAGCGACTTGGCTTGGCAGTATGGAGTGGCTTTGTAGTGGACCGGCACACAGCCGGCCGTGATGCGAAAGTTTTTAAAGGATGTACGCTGCGCCATCACACGTAGGGCACTTGAGTTGCATCCCAATGTGCAATTGTTTTTCGCAGCGCGATGCCAAGGCTGTTGTGACTATCGAAATGAACTTTTTTGACAGTTGTTGGGTTTCATCGCTGTCATTGCATCGTGCGTTTTTTGCACTCATCCTGTCACAAGTGACGCCCCTACTCGCGTGGCTTGCCCTTATTCGTTTCGCCCTCCCACCGTTTCTCGAAGGAACGTGCTCCCGTCTCATCTTACATGCATAGCGTGGTTTCTTTGTACAAAAAAAGAAAGTTTTCATATACAGGCTTAGGACAGCGACAAGTACGCTGTATACTTTGGACCTTTGCTACTTCCTAACGAAAGTGCGAGGCTTAAACTAGGAACAGCATTTCACTCTAAAGATTTTTCATTCATGTTAAATGTTGATTTTTTTTCTTGTGCCTTTATTTAACCAGCAGTGTTGTGGTCGATCTTGTATTTTGGCTGTTTGAGTATGAGGTCACTGTCGTTTCTGACTGTACACCCATTCTTAGTTATTCTGACTGTACACGGCCTCTGCTACACGGAGGCCTTGTCAGTGACATTAATATAGTTACAGTCAATTCTGGAGTGACATAATTAGCCTCCTGTCTCAATTTAATTAATTAAATTAAGTTGGTAATATTGTTTTGAGTGTAAATAGAGCATTGCGCGGCATTTCTCAGCAGGATATTATTTTGTAGTTTTTTTGTGACAATTGTAAACAGTAAGCGCGTCACTATGTTGTGGCACAAAAACAACTATTTGCGATGGAAATGCTGGTATTCAGTTTTATTTTTCTTAAGATCTCCCACCTTTTGCAAATGCACGTGTTAACATTTTTCGGCTGTGGCTTTGTGCTGGTAATGTTTTTTTCTTTGTATTCGATCATTTCCACTACGCTCCTGAATTAAGATTTTTTATTATGCGCAAGTGGTGAGAATTGCCCAAAGTTTGCAGCGCAGTGCCGCAACGTCTGTTCTTGGCATACCAACAGCACTGTCAAGTTGTAGACGACACGAAATGCTGTACAAACCTTGTGAAGGAAGGCCTGTCAAGATGTTGCGCTATTGTTCAGTTACTGTAACGAATTATACGGTTGTTTATCAAACATTGTCATGCGTAGTGTCTTTATTTGGTGGCGGGTGTGGGGGGACGTAGAGGGCACTACCGCCTTGATCATGTAGTACGTGCTTACAGAAAAAAGCTTCAGATCTGGTCGCCAACATCGGTCACCCCAAATGACAAGCACTTTGGGTTCATATGATTCGCCTGCACAGCCTGAACCAGTTAATGAGATGCTGCACCCAGATATTAATTTTTGTTCATTCAATGCTGTGGAACTTATAGAGGTCCAAGCAAGGTGAGGGTAAAAACAAGGAACAAACAAAGCAAACATAAACATCGTTAATACAATTCGGAACAATCACAATTTCACAGAAGGCAACAAAGAATTATTCCGGTCAGTGTGATGAGAAAAAATGGAATACTTTTGCTGATATAAAATATGGTGTCACTAAATTAAAATGATGGTGACGAGTATGTTTCAATGTTGAAGAAGGAAGATAAGGTGAAGGGTTAATTGCTAGTTGTCGATACCAAAGGAGGTAAAAAATTTGGCAGATCCCACGCCAGTGTTGTAGAGTGGGACAAGTTTAGGCAAAACAGGGAAAATAGGATTGACTCCTCGGAAAATATCGAAGATATAGAAAAGTGGACATCAATGCTGAGGCAAGATGTCGCGGCAGCAACGCATGAGGTCCCTCCTGAAGCAAACCTCCAGGTCCTAGATAGTAAGCTTCTGCATATGTGGGAGGCTAAACGTAGCCTACAAGCCCGGTGGAAAGTACAACGACACAATAGGACTTTACGTAGGCGAATAGCTAAACTGAATAGAGACATCGAGGAATACGCTTTACAGCTTTGCAAGTCACAGTGGGAAGAGACGTGTAATAGCATGGATAGTCGGGTAGGGTTCACCAAGGCGTGGAATCTCCTCAGGTTCCTGCTGGATCCAGAGGAGACTAAAACAGCATATAGGCAAAATGTCAACAAGATAATCAACGTCTACAAAGGCACCCACGCAGAACTCTTGCATGAACTCAGGATGAGATACACTAATCCGACTAGACCCGTGCTCCACTCTGAATACAAAGGCACTGCGAACGAGTGCTTGGACAGACCTTTCAGCATTGCTGAAGTACGCGCGGTGCTGCACAGGCTCAACACGAAATCATCGCCCGGACCAGACGGGGTTACGAACAAAACGCTTCGGAATCTAGATGACACATCGATAGAGCACCTCACGGTTTTCCTTAACGAATGCTGGGAAAAGGGACGTATTCCCCGACAGTGGAAAACCGCCCGCATCGTTATGATACCCAAACCAGGAAAGCGCATACAGCTGGAAAATCTAAGGCCGATATCGCTGACGTCCTGCGTTGGTAAGGTCATGGAGCACGTGGTCCTCGCGAGACTAACAAACTTTCTCGAGGACCACGATCTGATTCCTCACACCATGCTGGGCTTCAGGAAGAGCCTCTCCACGCAGGACGCCATGCTACAACTCAAGCACCAGGTAATAGACAGCATGACCACTTCTACCAAAGCAATCTTAGGCCTAGATTTAAAGAAGGCGTTTGATAATGTCAAGCACTCGACTATACTTACCCGAATAATAGAACTAGGACTCGGTAAAAGGACGTACGACTACGTCCGTGATTTTCTAACGGACAGGACAGCGAGGATCACATTGGGAGAATTAGAGTCAGGAGAGATAGAGATGGGCAGCGCCGGCACTCCTCAGGGTTCGGTGATTTCGCCCTTGCTCTTTAACCTCGCACTCATAGGGTTACCAGCTAAATTAGAAGAGATTGACGGGCTCTCCCACAGTCTGTACGCAGACGACATTACTCTGTGGGTAACTCGGGGATGTGACGGCCAAATAGAACAGACGCTACAGCGAGCCATCGATACGGTTCAAAGATTCCTAGAGGACACGGGCCTCACCTGCTCGGCTGAGAAATCGGAGCTACTGGTTTACAGACCTACGCGCAGAGGTCGAAAGCCCAAATACAGCGAACAAAGCGCAAATCACGCAGAGGAAGCGATACAGCTAACGACCTCGGAAGGCCACGTCATTCCCAAAGTAGACGTTATACGCGTGTTAGGCTTGTATATTGCAGCCAATGGCCACAATGGCGAAACTGTTCGCAGGTTGGAACACGCGGTAAATCAGACAATCCGACTTCTAAAACGAATTACGAACCGACATAGTGGTATGAAAGAAGGGAACACTATTAGACTTGTGCAAGCCTTTGTCCTCAGTAGAATCACGTACGTTGCCTCTTACTTGAATTGGCACGTCGCCGAGAAGATAAAATTAGATTGCTTAATCAGGAAAGTGTATAAGCAAGCTTTATGCTTACACATCGGAACAACAGCACAGTGAAATTATTAGAACTAGGCTTGCACAACACGCTTGACGAATTAATAGAAGCGCACAACGTAGCACAGTAATGAACGACTTTCTAAGACCCTAAAACGGGCCGGTACATCCTCCGAAAAACTGGGAATCCACTATCACACGCAGCAAGGCGAAAAAGCCCGACATAACCGTGATGGTAAGGGAAAAGATAGTGATTCCGCCGTTGCCCAAAAATATGCACCCGAACATCACACCGGCGAAGAAACCAGAGAGCGCAGGACTTGCAGAGAAAATTCGGAAATTGCAAGGAGCGGTATTCGTGGACGCGGCCAGATACGCGCGAAGGTGTGGTTACGTGGCCGCGGTGGTCGACGGTAAAGGGACATGCATGACGAGCGTTACGGTGCAAACGCCACTGACCGAGACGGCCGAGGAGGTGGCCATAGCACTCGCGGTGGCGACCACTGAGGCCGAAGTAGTAATTAGTGACTCGCAAGCAGCGATACGCAACTATGCGAACGGTCGTGTCTCCCGAGAGGCGCTGCGAATCCTATGACTAACGAAGACAAAATTCGGGAAAAAATGACACTTTCGTCATATGGACCCCCGCACACACACAAACCCCGCTGGCCGGCAACGAGGCGGCGCGACGCGCGGCTCGAGCACTCACGAACCGAGCCGTTGCGAACGCCGACGCCGCCTCGGACGAAGTTCCACGCGGAGGGGAGTGGGAGTGGGGGGACCGCATGACTAGTTACCACGAATAACGCAGCACTATAAGCTAGAAAGCGAAAGTACCCTCCGCCACACAACAGGTTAAATAAAAACAGGCAGTTGCGTGGCGACAACTGCAAACATATATATCCGAATCCAGTTCTCTTTAGTCTCTGTTACCCTGATCTGTATTTAACAGAAAAATGCAAGGTTTGCGATGAAAGGGCGACACTTTCACATATACTATGGGAATGCTCGAGTTTAGATGAAAGCAACGATGAAAACCACGAAGAGGCAGTTTCGGACCGCAGGACACGCTGGGAGGGGGCTCTGCTCAGCTCCTCATTCGAACAACAACTGTGGGCCGTCCAGCGAGCCGAGGAAGCCGCCCGAGCCCAAGGGCTCGTGGCCGACGCCTAGGCCCGCCCCAAATCAACTTCGCTGGACTTCATAAATAAAGTTATTCTTCTTCTTCTTATCCCACGTACCTTGGGAATCGATGTTATGCGAAGAATGCGGATGGAAGGTGAACGTATTTGATTTTTCTTGAGCAGGACGTTATGAAGCGGCGCTATATACATGTACAAATATGCGCGCACACTTACGTTTAACAGCCGCATATGTTTTATATTAGCAGTTGTTTACAGTTGCATAACAATGCCAAGAGTGACATGGATATTAGCAACACCAGAACCGGTAAGCTGGTGTGATGCACTGGTGTGCACGAGGATGGTAGCCCTGAACACTGGTACGGAAATCAACTTCAGCGGATGGTGCCTGACTACAATTTACATTAACCTGACATTACAGCTGTATTATAGGAGTACATATGTAATGTTTATGAAATTGAAAAAGCCAGTACTGCAACCACAATTAACTTTACACGAATTTTAGTGTCTATTTGAAAAGTATATCTGAGGCTTGGTGTGGCTCTGTGGTGGAATACTTCATTTACCACGCAAAATTCTATGGTTGCATTCCTGCTGGGACACTGTTATTTTATTGTTTGCATTCGTCCGGTCAACGCTGCCTATGGCAGCTTTTTTTTTAACACTCAAGCGTTACAAGTTACCCATGTGTGTTCTTGCCATTCCTGGGTGAATGATTGTGAGATTATTCATGTTATGCGTGTCATATCGGTCAAACCATCTCATCCTCCTGTTCTAATTTTGGTGTACCGCAAGTTAAGGGAGTGATCATGAGAGCACCCAGGCGTAGGTTGGTGGGGGCACGTACGGGCAGATGGACTTCTGGCTGGCTGGCTGAGAGGGAGAGTCGTATGAAGATAAAGCCTTTTTTTTTACATTCCCGAGACTGTAAAGTTTTTGGTAAAGGGTCCCAGACAACACATGCATGTTCAATCTTTAGATCAATTATTTTGAGCAAGTGTAATTTTACAGCTGGAAACAAATAGTTTGGCTTATGCTTTAAAAAGAATAGTTGGTGATATGCAGAAGAACAAATATCTACTTGTCTATTCCACGATAAGGTATTATCATGGAATAAAGACACCTATGTATTTGTATAGGCTTTCCTCATACAGGAGTAGTGGTCCTAGCCTATATGTAAAGGAAAGGGGAGCTTTTCAGTGAGAGAAAAATACTGTTTTATTATTAGGCTCCATATTCTATGTGTTGCACCCTTCGAGAATTTCAGCAATGAAGGTGGTACTGATCGTTAGGTGAAGTGATTTCATGGAACAAGACACAATCATCTCCAAACAATCTAATTTGAATGCTTGGATCAATTACAATAATTATGATTAACGTACAGCAAAAACAACAATGGTCCTGATACACTCCCTTGAAAGACTGCGAAGGCAGCTAGAAAATAGCCACACTGTCATTGATTCAATGATGTAGGACCGGTTCACTATTTCGCAGCACTTGCCCTGCTGCAAATGGTGCTGGCTTGGTGTAGACATCGCTGGCGCCAGGGTTTACAGGTTGAAATGGCAAAAAAGTAGCCATGCAA